CTGACCCCAGATGTACTGGCAATAAATCAAGAAAAAACTGGCTAGAATGTAATGACTCCTTGGGTCCTATTTCTGCTACGAGTCAAAAGCTATTGAAAGTAACAAATGTTGTTTTCTGAAGGATCTAAAAATTATGAACTATTGTGCCCAAAACATGGCCTGAGGTCTAATCCTCTCTAATGTATTCTACAACCTAACATCGTGGTAGCCCCCACATACACGCAATATTATGGCTCAAAAATGCCCCGGATGTTCGGACATTCAACCGAGCGACCGCAGTCGGCACCGCTTCGAATTGGAACGCGTCGAAACGGGACCGTCCAATCGGCACGCGTCCAATCGGTCGGCGTCCAAGTGGGACACCCCCCAGAAAAACATCCTTCGAGCATTTGGGCATCCGAACCTCAACTAACCAGCGACATTGAATACGCCCAACTTCTAAACCGTTTCCAACGCCATACACAACATAGTTCTTACTGTTTAAAAAGTGCGGCTGCAAGGGCTGTTTGTCGATTCAACTTTCCTAAACAAATTGAGCATGAATCGCGGCTTTCGCAAGACGAATCTGGAGTTTGGCAATATGTTCCTGTTAGATTTAATGACGCTTGTATTTTGAAATTTTTCTGTTTGTTTACTGTATGTATTTGTGTGAACGAACCTGAAGTGCGACACAGTTGTCATTGTTTTCCAATCGACCGGACGATAGTCAATTTTTATTGTCTCCTCCGCGTGCAGTCGTCGTCGCGCATAGAGAACGAGCGGTTCAATGTTTTTCTCTTTGTAAAGTTTAATACATTTTTTCTTGTAAATAAAATATTCTAAAGACTCTGTAGAAGTTACTCAACAGTTCCCAAACGCAACGATGAATTGTTGAACGAACACAACCATTTCGTGGCAAAAGTATGGCGTGCGAATACGGACTGCAAGGTTATTGCCTCAGAGCATGCTATCATCAATTATCTTTCAAAATATGCAGCAAAAAGCGAACCTCAATCTCAAAACTTTCGTGAAGTATTTGTTGACGTTATTGGTTCTTGCGATCCGAACGAACCAGCAAAAAAAGCTTTCACTCGTTTGTTACACAAGTTGGTTGGGCAGCGAGACATATCAGCTTGTGAGGTTATGCACCACTTAACCGGGAACGCATTGTTTCATTGCTCTAGACAATTCGTGAAACTCTTCATCTCAACTGACGATTATTTAATCGTATGTAATGATGATGTAGCAGAATATGTGCCTCGGTCTATTTTTGAACATTATGCTAACCGAACACAAGGTATAGAAGGAATGTCGTTAAAGGAATATGCCTCGGAATACTTTATCCAAAGAAGGGTTTTACGTAAATGTCGAGCCACAAGAATACTTCAAGTGATTCCAATAGTTAAAGCAAATGTTTCTGAAGTTGAAGATGAGGTTTACTACAAACAAAAACTCATGGTAAACAAACCGTGGCGAGATTCTGACGCCCTCAAAACACACACAACTTTGAAAGAGTCGTATATGACTGCTTCTTTGGATTTTTGGGAACTTCCTGATATCCAGTCAATGGAAGACGAAGATGGCATCGACGCTCCTGAATATGATCCTCACGAATGGATAGAGCTGGTAGCAGCTTTTCCAAACCGTAATGTGAATGATGTGATTCTAGGTTGTCGAGACCTCGACAGAGAATATAACTGGCTCGACACATATCACAAGTACTACAACATCGAATCGAATTTAAATCACGTCAAAAACTTGCGGGACAGTTCTTCCAGTCGAGTACTTAGCTAATCAGGATAATATATTAACTAAAAATCCGAACGAACAACAGGCGCAAATTATACACTTTTTAAGTCAGCAACTTTGCAAGGAAAATCTTGACAAACTGGTCTTAGTTCAAGGAGTCGCTGGAACAGGTAAATCGTTTTTGATCAACAAGATGTTTCAGACCGTTGAGTCCATTTACGGACATTGCAGCGTGCTGCTGATGGCCCCAACTGGTGTTGCTGCGAACAACATTAACGGACAGACTATCCATTCTGCTCTCCGAATAACTCAGAGTCGCGGTACATTAACTGACCTCTCAGGAGCAGCTGAAAAAAATTACCAAGAATCTATGCAAAACTGTCGTGTAATAATCTGTGACGAAATGAGCATGGTTGGACTCCGTATGTTGTCTTTCATTGATAAACGCTTACGCCAAGCATACCCATCTCGTCAAGAACAACCTTTCGGTGGGTATATTGTTTATTTCTTTGGCGACTTCAACCAACTTCCGCCCGTTATGGATCGTTCACTGTTGTCAATACCTGACACCAACAACGCGGATGCTTTGCACGATCGCTTTCTTTACGAACAGTTCACTAAAGTCTTTGAAATTACACAAATCATGAGACAAATCGGCGAAGAACAAAAGCAATTTCGTGAAACATTAGGTAGAATCGCTCTCGGTGAAGTAACGCAAGCTGACTACGATTTGCTGAGCAGTCGTTTCAAAACTAAAAACGCGTGTTCTTCTGTCGAATTCAACGATTGCATTCATATGTATAAAAGCAAAGAAGGATGATATACGCGAATACAATTATGCAAAACTTAGGGCACTAAATCAACCAGTAGCTCTTATCAAAGCTCAACATAACAATATTACTGCCAGTCAAGCAAGCGAAGATGAGGCTCATGGTTTACCGGCCGTTTTGCAAATTTCAACTGGTTGCTGTGTTATACTCCGCCAGAATTTATGCACTCCTCACGAGTTGTGCAACGGAATACTAGGCACCGTTACGGATATCGTATATTCACCAGAAGTAGAATATCCTTTAGACGCTGTGCCCCTTTGCATTTTAGTGGAGTTCGATGGATACAACGGGCCAACTGTATACGACGGGCTCATACCAATTGTGCCTCAAACAGTTGCCTTCCGAAAAGGTACGGTTTCGTGTAATCGTAAACAGTTTCCTTTGCAACTTGCATACGGGATAACGATTCATAAGTCACAAGGCATCATTGTAGACAAAGCCGTGATTGACATTGGTCCGAAAGAATTCGCTTTTGGGCTAACGTATGTAGCTCTTTCAAGAGTAAAGACGTTCCAAGGGCTGCTAATTGATCCGAGTTTCCCTCGCGATCGCCTGTTAAAATCAGTCAACAACAATGCTGGCTGGCGAATGCGAAAAAATGAACTTGCAAGGATACGAGGACTCGCAGAAAAGAATAACAACTGAATGAAATGATTTTCCTGTGCAACAATAATAAATGTCCTAACGGTAAAAAGAACTTTAAGCCCCACTAGCAAGTCGTTTAATAGTGATATCTGATAAGATTGCGATATAAACCAATGCTCAGGAGTAACGAATTTACTCGCTCGCTCAACATTATTAGGTTAGGCGCGGAGCGCCTGAATCAAACAGACCCAGTAAATTAGTATTGTAGCGTACAAGAAATAATGTAAAACGCGGAGAATAAGTTAATAATATTCAAAGAGTGTCAGACATAGAAAATCCTTAGAAATCCCTTATGAAATAATGTAGAATAGGCCGAAATATTATTTAGTGTCGAGAACAGTCGAGAAAAGCGAGTATTTTAGAATAATCGAAAATTCTGTCGCGAGGCGAGTGTTCGTAGGCCGTTCAGCGGAGCGAGAAGCAAGGCGCAAGCCGCGAGCCGCGAACTTAGCGACGCGTTGTTAATAGCTCGGCCACAGTATAAGAAAGCACAGTAGGCTCACTCCGTGTCGGCACCTTTGATCTCATGACCAAAAGATCGCCATGTTGCTGGTTGTGCGCGGGCTCTAATTTGAAAGACACAAACAGAAAGAAAGAATTTTACTAAATATTTTAAAAGAAAATAAGACTTTAGAGTAATAACTCACTTGATGGGAAAAAAGTTAGAGCTATTGTAATTATATGGTACATAAATTATTGTGTATATTTACAAATAATTAACACCTTTGTGTTTATTTTGTTGTACATATGTATTAATTTATTTTTAATTAAAATACAATTTCATCAAAATCATTGTATAAGAATACA